AAAAAAAAAAAAAAAGATTAATCACTCCCTATAGTCATTTATCCCAGGAAAATTCATTTTTTGGCCAAAATGAACAGTTGTTATCCTTTTAACATTTAAAAGAAAAAAATTAATTATTCTTTTTCACCTTTGTTTTCAGGGTTCTGCTTTCTGTATGTAGTGGAAGGGGTTCTGAGAGAACGTCCGTATGAAACCTTCATATTTGTCATTGCCAATGTCATCATCATTGTGTACGTCTGTTCCAACTTTGCCATTACATACCCAGATATTGCCAATGGGAAAGATGATGTTAGGTTCACAGTTAAACTGGTAAGAGTTTGCCACCATTCACATAAAAACAAAACCCTGAAGCGAATCAAATTATATTGAAATTTCCAATTTATGAGTGACACTCTCTTGTCTGAGATTGAAACAGGATGAAAAATGGTGTGATGGTAAACAGAAAGATGCAGAACATAAAAAAGTATTCATGGATTTTTTTATCAATTTTTAATAGCGGGAATTGAGGAAAAAAGTTGCTCTCTGGATTGTTTATTTGCTTTAGAATACCTGTGAAATAAATTAAAATTCAGTCGTATTTTTTTCCTTGTTATTCAGGTACGGCTCATATTCACTGTTATCCTGGTCCCGTTGAATGTGTACTTAGGGCTCTGGGTGTCTTACACATATTTCCAGTCAGGGAACTTGATATTCAGGACAGTTGGAGCCAGCGAGGACTTACAGAACTCCTGCAAGACTCTGTTCTTTACGGAGGCAGCTCTCAAGTTTGATGTCCAGATGGCTGTGAGTTTATATATAGAAGTTTATCTATGTATATATATATATACAGACATACAGTGCCCAGTGATTGCATTATGCAAAATTGATATTGTTCTTTGTTTTTGTTATTTATTATTTTTGCTATGTTACCACAGTAAAAGATCAATTTCAATAACATTACCTTGAATTTAAACTTCTATTGAATTTTTTCTTCATTTCATCTGATGTGTTGTTTGACTGATGGCAAAACAACATGCGGGCAATATTTATCTGAATATGGTTATATGTAATTAACTGAAATCAAAATGATTACTGATAAGAATTTATCAGAATTTATATTTTTTTTATTGGAGTCTTGTTAGACAATCAGCCATTCAGTCTATTTATTTATTTATTTATACCAGTCTAGTATGCTGATACTCATTCTGAAGGATGGCCATACAACGGGTACACTAGGGATCTGTGTCCTGACCATAGGGTTTGCCTTCACTGTGGTTTGGGTACTACTAGGGTATTTTGCTGTAAGTACATGCATGCACACACACACACATGCATGTGCACACACACACACACACACACGGGTGCGCGCAGTAATGTCTTTGTGCCGTTAGTGTGGATAGTGTCATACTGGGATATTTTGCTGTAAGTACAGGCACCCACACACACAGTGTAATGTATTGAACTGGGGATCTTTGTGAATGGTGTACCACTGGGACATGCATGCACACACACACACACACACACACATACACACACGTACACACACACATGCACACACACACATGCACACGCACAATTATATTTTACACTGGGTATCTGTGCCTTATTGGATAGGCTACAACTGGGATATTTTGCTGTAAGTACGTGCACACATGCATGCACACACACACACACCCACACACACACACACACATGCACAGCTATATTTTACATTCGTCTTACACTGTAGATATGTGTAATAACAACAGGGGTATCTTTCACTGTGGTCTGGATTCCAGTGGGATATCTTGCTATACTAGTAAATGAACATACTAATGCACACCTACATACATACAGAGAGAGATCATGCTGTAACATGCACACACACGCACACACATACACACATATACATGTGGCCTCATACTCACCGAGATATTTTGCAGTAGGTGCACATTTATTGTGATATAAATGTAAAATCACATGCGCATGTACACTAATGCAATAAATGCCTGCATACTAGTAGGGATAGGTTTACAGTGAGTCTCCATTACTGCCATTAATGTATCTTTGGTGTATTATAATTGAATTTTTTGCATCTTCATCTTCATTTTAGGTGAGATTTGAAAACAAAATTCTAACATTCATTTTCTTTGCCACGTCTGTATTTGAACCAGGCTACATTATTTTCAAAGTATACCAGGTATGTAAATGCAGTGTGTGTGTGTTAAGTTCAATGTGATGCTTTTTTTAACCTCTCTCCCCTTGGTAAAATCATGAATTGAGTTTGGTACCAATACTGAAATTATTTTCAAGCTGTAATGAAAATGATAGAAATGAATACAATCAATAAATTAGCTTTACTTAAAGGCATAATAACTCTTTGTATGAGACCTATATTTCACAATAAAAACCTTGTGAATAACTCATAGAAATATAATATAATCTGTTTTACCACAAAACAGCAGTTATAGCTTTTATTCTGATATTTGAACTTGTCTTTAGACCACGTGACCTCCATTGATGTCTATACTCTGTTAAAATCTCTTAAGAGATTTTAACAAAAAACCAAACTTTTTAGAAAACAAGGCAGCAAAGCTGTCAAATGTACAGACAAAAAGCAGGAAATAAC